TATTTGCCTTAAAATTCTAATAGAGCCTTATAAGATACTTAGGAATTAATTATAAACTCTCTATTATATACTATAAAGAGATAAATAGATAAATAGAATATATAAATCAGATATTAGAATAATACCTTTAATATTATATTAACTATAAATAAATTAATTAGGTTAAAAAGCTATTAGCCGCCTAATTAGCCTATAATATAGCTATAAATAAAAGTATAAAGATTATATTAATTTATATTAACTTTAGATTTATATTAGATATATATTAATAAATATAAGATATTATTATTAATCCTAAAGTAATCCTTATTAGTAATTAATTAAAGAACCTATATAAAGAAATAAGAATAGAACTTAAGTTTATTAGAAATAAAATAATAAACTATGCTAATAAGAAAAGAATTAAGGGATTAATCTTCTCGGAGGGAAATATAGTCTACTTTATAATAAAAAATATTAAAATAAAATAATAAAATAAAAAACTTAACTATAAATATATTAGACCCTATAAGATAAAATAAAAAATCTTAAAATATAATTATAAACTAGACTTATTACCGAAGGTTAAGCTCTATTTAATTTTTTATATTTTATTACTTAAATTAATATAAAATACTATCTAAGTAAAAATAAATAATAAACCTAATATAGAAATTAATAGACTAAAAGAATATATTATAAAAGCTATCCTTAATATAAATAAAATTAATAATAAAATAATATATTTTATTAAATAAAAAAACTATCTAGACTTAGAGAATATATAAGAACTACTAGAATACCTTACTAGCGTATAATACCTATTATAAGATTTTTATTAATAATTCTAGAAAAAAAGGAATTAATATTAAAATCTAAGATAATTAATTAATTAATAATATTAATAGCCCTAAAAGACTAAGTATTAATAATAGCCTTAGCCTCTTAGCGATCTAATTCTTCTAATTTATTTAAAGAATTTAACCCCTAATATATTATCTCTATACCCCGCTTATAGATCTATTTCTTCTAATAACAAAGGCATATTAGATAGGATAATCGCTTATTTATTTATTATTAAAGAGTAATTAATTCCTTCTTTGCTTTTTCCTCTTTAAGCTCTAGGCAATATTTCTCTATTACTAGGTATAATGCTATAAAATATTAATAAGAAGAAAGGCAATAAACGCGAAAAATATACTTACTAGTAGAAACTAATATACCCGAGCTATTATAAGCGCGGCCATGGCGGATATACTTAGAATAACGAGAGATACCCTTAAGTATCTTATATCTTAGGTATTTTTAAGAATAATAAGAATAAGGTATAACTTTAAAGCCTATTTCTTTAATAAGCTTAAAAAGATAGTAATAATATATAATAGAATAAGATTTTACTTTTGATATATTATTAGTATTATAGAAAATATTTATAAGGGAAGGTTTAATAAACTAAGGGAAATTTAAGATAGCTAGTTTTAAAGGCCTTAAGGATAAGATTAATAAAGGGGAGATATTATATTATGGCCTAATATATAACTATTATATATATAAGTAGGACCTTATAATTCTTTACTAATTAAATAAGCGATTACCTTTATTACTAAATAATTATAGTAATTACCTTATTAATTACTCTAATTACTTATATAATTACCTTAATTAGGGTTAATAGGTAGAGTAATTATAATTAATACCTAAAGTATATAAAATATACTTATTATACTTTCTTATATAATAGCTACCTTAGCTATTAATATAACTTAGTTATACTTAATACCTTTAAGTATATTACTAGATATAATATTATACTACCCTTTAAGGCTACGTAATATAATCTAGTGCTAATATAAACCAATACGACCGGTTTATCCCTTAGGAAATATCCTCTCGTCATAATAGTCCGATTATCATAACCCGTGCTTACTTGGGTCGCGCTAGGGAAACACCCGTTCAAGCCGGCACGACTACAGGGTGTAGGGGTCTGTAATGTTATTTCTCACTAGCTAATACGTACCTATCTCTTACTTCACTTCTTTTCCTAGGGATCATCAGATCTCATAGGTCTCGGTACAAGAAGGTCATCAAGTGGCAGCTTCTCGACTCACATCTCCTTGAATCATACACGGAACAGAGCTCTCAACCCGTCAGCGCGAAGGTGGCGAAGAAGCCCACCTTTCAACCTTACAGACCCTACACTCTCTAAGGCTGGAAAGAAAACAGGAGTCTGCGTACTATTTTCGCGGGGCTGGCACCAAAATCAGTCTCCTGTATTTTTTCCCCCGCTGGACCCTGCACTCCGTACAGCCTAGAGCTTGCAGGGATTAAGGACGGCAATCTCAGTATACCAGCTATCTATCTCCTTGCTTGCACATAGATTACCAACCGTTCACTCACAAGGATCTAGTCCAATCATAGCTATTACCCCGAAATAGGATGAAGACGCATTGCCACCGAAATCTTCACACCATCTGATAACGATCTAGCCGTACAGTACTGTACTGTACGACCTGGTAGTCTGTGTGCAGCCAAGGAGATAAGGTTTGGTAGCGTATTGCCACAAGTGTGTGGGGACGGTACGAATTGCCGTCGCTCCATGCCAAGCCTGTACCGTTGGAGGAGCCTCCATGTGGCCAGACGGTCCATCTGTATTTTTGACATTCCAAGGTCTGCGAACAGCGCCGGGCTGAATTGATGCGGAGGTGACTTGGGGCATTTCACTGGCTCATGAACGACGGCGGCTGGCGCTAGGCCGTGACCAGACAATTTGAGTTAACCTGCGCACTTCATTGCTCCGCATTCTTGGTGCTCAGTCAAGCCATAATCGAGGTCATCAGGATCAAGATGCGTTTCTTGTTTGCTCTCGACACGCTGCTTCGTACAAGGACATGGGCTGGCTGCGAAGATAGAAGCTATCAGAATACAGGTGGATCAGGCTAACGTCGTCATGGCCAGGGGTAGCCCGGTGGGAACCAGAAGTAGCATCGACTCCGGCAGGTACCCATTATAAGGTCTTAGGTTTCTAATGCTCGTATGGCCCTTGCGACCTAAATATTCGGGACCGATATTAAAGGGGCGATACTACAAGGCTACGACGACCAGGTTAGTTATACATGCTGTTGATTCCAACATACGTTTTGCACAACACGGACATCGTTCTGTTGTGCATTGACTGCTCGGCTCTGAATACCGCCCACCATACTCCCAACTACGTCGACTTCTATCCCGATGGTCTCAGTCTACTCATATGGTGTGAACCAGAACCCAGAACAATCAGCTCGTCTTACTCCAACATCAACTATCGACGCGGCGACAACCCGCCAAATCACCAACAAGACAGCCAACCCCTCGTACATCCCGAGGCAAGAATCTCCCTCGTTTCGTCAAGCTAACCTCGTCATCTGGACCGCGAATGTCGGCGAATTCGCACCGCAAGACAGCCAGGTAGTTGTGAACGCCGCCAAGTTCATTATCAGAGCAGTTCTTGGCAGGGACATTGCCCACTGAACCAGAGTGTCGACCCCCAGTCTTCTTTGCTGAACATAATCCGCCTGAGGACTACTTTGGGGTTATGGTCCAGTGAGCAGTTTTCGTCTTGAGCAATAGCTAAGAGGGAGACTTTTCAGACGCAGACGGCCAGCTCATTAGTCGAGCTGCCACGGTCATTTGTCGCCAAGACTGCCAAGGATGCCAACAGAGAAGAAACAAAGATTCTTTCTGCATGCCAGTGAAAAGCTGGACCAGCAGATAGCGGCCATTTGAAGATTCTGACGTTGACCAGAGAGGTGATATAGTATCATCAACAGCCCAATGACAAAGGGCCGCCTCCTATGTCCAACGGAGTGACCAAACGTTCGGAAATCTCATCTCATTCTTATGGGAACTTATTTGTTAAAACATGGAATACTCGGCTATATCAAGTTGGTAATGGAATTGCACCGAGGTGGCCTTCCTAGCCTGTTGGCTGCGGTGTGCCGCAGTGATCGGGACTGTTTTGTTTGTCATATTAACGATTCTTTGCGGGTTGGCTACATTCAGATGACCGCTACCACTTAGACCAATCTACGAAATAATTCACAAGTATGTCGCCCACCCGAGAAGAGCCAGCTTTCTTGTAAAGGTTGCGGTCCAAAGTCTCAAATAGCTACCAATTTCGGTCATGGGCTCCTGGACCCAGCATGCTTCCATCTTAATCCCGAGGCCGACTAGCTGGCCAACGGTCAGGTGGACCTCTTGGGTTCTACAAGTGAGCAAGCAATGCTCAGCTTGGCTCCGAGCGTATGGTTTCTTTCATTTTGCTTGATCTAGAAGGATCTACAATCTTGATCAGCGAAGCTAGCATCCCTTCCTCCGCAAATTCTCTGTTGGCAACACACGAGATTGCGCCAGGCGAGTTTAGCGTTGACGCCGCCAGTCATGCGAAGGAGCTGTGAGGCGAATTTGGGGTTGAGATTGCATGCGAGGCACCAACTCATGGTCCACAGAAACCAGTTGACCATATATACCGTACAATGACGGCCAAAATCTCAAGCGCCGTCGACAGCACTATGGCAACGGGTATTTGGGCCCGTTTTAGAATGATAAAGAACCTGTCTGCTTCGATGATGCGCCATGGCGGATATGACAATCGGGGTATGTTCCTACGTGTGTTGGCTCTTTTTACCTCGGTACCCTGTAGGGTAGGCAGCTCGAGTTTTGAGACGTCAATTGCCGGGGCCAGTCACTGATACTCGAGGCGCACAGGTCAACTCTCAGAGAAGGTTATCGATCTGCGTCTGTATCTCTTAAGACCCCGGCGACGACACGCTGAGGCGAGAATGATGGAATTGATGGAATGAGAGGAGTTGTTGTGCGTTGTCGTCGGCCTCGCATGATTGGTTCAGCCCCCTGCACTGTTGTCTTGGGCGGCGTGTCGCTCCGCCAACCATGACTAAGCCGGGGAGAGATTCATGAGATTCGAGTCTCCCTCCAAACCAAATTGCGTCATTCGTCTCCATCAACAACCACCCTCACTGTTCAAGATGGCGCCCCAAGTGTCGACGGTGCCCATCATCAGTCCATCGTTGTCGCTGAAACCGCGTCGGAAACCGTTCGATCACAAAGCAGAGCTCGCCAAACTCGTCTATTTTCTGCACCCTGGCTACCCAGAAGGCAACAATACCCTCTTGCATCTCCCGTGCCTCGACTCGGGCGGCATCCATCATGAAACTGCCCGTCTAGCTTGTGCAATCTTTGCCAATTGCCGCTGGGACGGCTACCTTTCATCCAGCAGAGACGGCCCGCCAGTGTCTGCGCATCCCGACGACGTCCTCCCGCATGGCCGATACTACTTCATCATCGATGGCGACGACCAGTACCCCGTTGTCCCTTCGTTCCAGCACTTTGTCTGCCCTACCACCCTTCCCCAGCCGTACTGCGAGGCGCCCATCGAACGGAGCTCAGGCGATGACGCCATCCGCCGCGACGACACCTGTCGAATTTCGGCCTCATCTTCCCCCAACGAGACGGCACACATCATTCCCGCTTCCCAGAGCAAGTGGTGGCGAAGGAACGACATGTCGCAGTACACAAGCGCCCCTGAGCAGATGGACAATACGCGATGTGCCGAGAACACCGTCCTGCTCCGTCGCGACCTGCATAAGCTGTGGGACGACGTTGTCTTTGCCATTGTGCCCAAGCAGGGGAAATGGGTGGTGCACGTGTTGCTGAATTCTCCCCGGGTCGATATTCGAGAGCGCTACCACAACTTGGAATTGCAACCGCTCGCTGGTGTCAGGAGAGAATATCTCGTCTGTCGCTTTGCCTTGGCAATCTTCTCAAAGAGCCACTTCTTGAATGGATCACTGTCAAGAAAGCTGGTATTTGTTAACACTGATGGCGAAAGACCAAACGAACAGGTCACTCGCGAGTTCTCGGCAAAAGAGTATCAAAAGGAGTTCCCAGCGACTTCGGCGAGATCAGCAAGTAGAAACCCAAGCCCCAAGAGGCAGAGACCACCAACTGCGGATGACATGTTGGATGACCGAGATACCACGGAAGAGTCCGACTTCAGCCAAGTGTTTGGCACCGAAGACGAACGGTCAGAAGATGAAGAGGAGAGGGGCCGACCGCGAAAAAGACCATCGTCGCCCGACAGCTGGGATGGACTCTCCCTACTGGATCATTGCTTGGATGCGAGTTTTGATAGTGTTGAAAGGAGTCAGGACCATTGTAGAAAGCGGCTACGGCCTTCATCGTCCAGTCGTGCAGAAGAATCGGTGGACTAGTCCTATGGGTTCCCATGACTAAAATTTGATTGACGATTAATGTAATGATTAAGAGGTAACAAGGATAGGATAGATATTATATGATACCCATGGGCGTAGGAGTTGTAGGTAGGAGTTGAGGGTGTTGCGGAAAAGGGGAGGCGCGGCGCTGAGGAGGGATGAGCTCGGTGAGAGCACGACTGGATTGAAGGTGCCGAGAATTAGGGTATCGGGAGGGACAACTGCACAAATTTGAGCGAGAGTTAAGCCGAGAGCAAGAGCTGGCCGCATCTCGGGAGTTTGAACAAGGTCTGACTCTCTCAAATCAGGGTCGAGTCCAAGATGCTTCATTACCCAAAAGAAATCCTTCAGCACTGAAGTTCTGGGGTCAAGTTGACCAGACTCAGTGAGCCTCCACCATTTGAGTCCCGGCATCGGGTTTTATCTTGGGAGTGATTTGCTCAAAGGTCCTTCCTGACTTGGTCTTGACCTCGGTCAGGAGGTCTTCAAGATGAGCGTCGATATGCTGGAGCGATAGCTGTTTTATTTCCTTTTGCACATGCGCACCGAGATTGTAGCACATGTCAAGGGCAAGAAGCCGGCCCCGATATGTCGAAACGAGACTGTAGATAGTAATTGTTATCTGGGTATAAAAGATGGATGTGTGCTTCGGATGGGAGTGATTTTGTGAGTATAACGTACCTGGACAGGTCCCTCATCTTTCCTGTTTTCGCCCGTTGACGGATGTGTGGTGGGCAGCCGTGCCAGGCTCCGCGGTCAACGGATCCTTGGACGAGTGGGCCAGGAAACCTTGATCTCCAGATGCTGGCAAATGAATCATGATGGATGAGTGAACTAGATATGGCGATTGGATGGAATTGTGAGCGTTGGGCTGAGTATAGAGTTTTGCAAGAAGCAGGGTGGTCGTCACCCGTCACCAAGATGGACGACAACTAGCCGAAACCTCGATTGTCTTGGTGGCTCACCATTTCCGGACAGCAGTACGGTGCTTAGCGGTCGCCCGGCTTGGGCGGTAATCGTTTCCCAATGAATAGAAGTCCGTTTCAGCCAACAATAGGAGGCAACACAGAAGCGAAGAGGCTTGACGCGCCCTGCCGCTGATCGACCAATGTTGTGTCCTACAGAAGAGAAAAGAGAGAACATCGGCAAATACCTACGTCAACAGTGAGGCTGGGCCCCTAGCAGGGGCTGAACGCGCGTTGTGATCAGCAAGGTCAGGGATGACCTCCCCTGTGTGCATCACGGATCGAGGGCCCTCTACTCCGTACACGCCCCCACCACCAAATATCCATGCTGGACAGAGATTTTTAGGTGCATGCCAAGTAGTGAGCCGTGGAGGGGTGAGCAACCTAGCTCGGTACATTAGCTTAGTTGAAGGGACCATCACAACCAAATCCCCTGACCCCGGTTCTCCTTAGCAGTGGTCCAAGCTCTTGTCTTCGTTTTCGAATTTGAAGGACTTTGCTCTTTGAATCCGACTGACTCGACGCATGAGGCATTTTCAACGCGGGCGAACCAAGCTCACGCAAGTCCGACCACCACCAAGAGACCTACCATCAGGAAGAGATCTGATCCGCACAGGAGAGATGTAGCATCTTGGCTGTCCCCCAAACAGAACCTCGCTGCAATTCTCCTTACCTGAACACCCAAGCTTCAGCTGGACGTATTTCCTTCACGTCTTGACATTGTCCGACGTCGACCTAGGCCTTTCAATAACAGAATGTAGCTATGCAGTAGCAGTTCTGAAAGAGGACAAAGAGCGCCGACAAATAAGACGGAGTGAACGGAGACGGCATGTACGGGAGGGCCTCGTCAATCATCTTGAGAAATTCACAGGGTCGTCCTTGGAACTTACGACCGATCCGACACGGTGGCTCATCGCAATGTTGACTAGACTGTATTTCTCTGCGACACGGCTGTTTCGAATCGCCGGATCTGGCCAGGCTGGCGTCGTTCGTCTCGCTCTCGACTCCTCTCTCAACCCCGAAAGGGAGGGAAAGGTCCTACCAGAGAGCCCCATCGTTCCAGGCAAACCAGAGCATTCTCCGAGCATGATGTGGTCTAGCGATGATTTATCATGTCTGGCAAGAACCACAACATGTATTTGACTCGTGGGAAGAAGTCAAGGTCGCCGCCTACCGTTTTCAGCCAGTACCAGGATACGCGTTCATGAATGTAACATACTCGCAGACCCAATTGGCCTTCGAACTACACCGCGCGGACGCGGTGCAACTTTCTGAACAGGCTGGGCAGGTCTGGAAAAACAATGGTTGTCGTCGATGTCATCGTTTCACTGAGTTGGGGACAATATGGCCAGACTACATTGGATTTCGTGAAGAGGAACAGGCGTACCAACGGCTGATACCTCTTCGCCAACAAGGCTGATGTAGTCTCTTCAAAACGAACGCAGGCTGAGACAAACTCCCAGTCACTACGACATGCGATGCTCTCTTTTGTGCCCCCTCCATGGCAGTGGTTCAGTCCCCAATTGTAACATGCGTTTGTGGTGACACCTCCTTCCAGGTCCCAGCATACGCCTCCAGCCGCTCTGTCTCCAACTTTCCAGTCTTCCTGGGTAGGGCAATAGCAGCCAGTTCCATGACGATACGTGGTTAACACTTGGCCCGAATTTCCGCACTATTCCTTCATTTCGTGAATATCATGGGTGCGTAAGTGCGTTCGTCCTTCATGGCTAGGAGTAGTATCAAGGGGATCATTTGGGAAAAAATTTAGCGTTTATGTTTTCTGCTGTTTCTTAGGTGACAAAGATCGGTGGGTACCCGAAAGCAGGGATATGAGTTAAAATACAAGAACACGGAATCAAATAACCACTAACTATGTACACCCTATAGCCAGTAGTCCTCCATATTTCCTTCCTCTATTATATCCTCGATGCTATTAAAACGAATCTTAATAGACTCAAAGGCAAAAGCTATAAAGTTTCCTTCGCCGTAATAGATATTATCAAGACTAATATCATCAAGAAGAACAGCGTCATATAGCAAACTAAGCCACTACCTAGTCTTTACTATGAATATCTACTTCTAGATCTAAGGTAATTATACCCGGGACGACTCTATTATATTCCTCCCATAAGGGCCATAAGTTAATCATAACTAGAGTATTAGGCTATAATATAAAATACCTATATAGTTTCCAGCAAAGATATCCTCTATTAATCTCTACCTTCTCGTATCCTATCGGATACTCTCGTCTTCTACTATAAGTTATTAGCTATATAGGCTTACTAAAAAAGAATACCCGGGAATAGGCTATTAGGCCGCTAAGGCTTAGTAGGGGAAACCCATCGCTCTAGCATCTTTATATGCCTTAGATAATCATCCTATAGAGAACATCCCGGATAGGGTAGCTAAGACGCTCGCTATTAGTCTTAGTCTATGGGAAGAGCTAATAATCGACGTCGCACTTCTTAAATTCTTCTCTCTTATAAGCTCTAAATTATAACCCTAGGAATAAATTGCCATTAAAGCAAAACATCTAAGGATATTTATACTTAATAGCATATCTATAAACAGCTATTAGATATAGAATATAAGGGGGACGGTAGTATCGAGCGTATACCCTCGGAGCTCTTTTAGGAGCTTTACTTAGTCGGGCTTCTTCTTAAAGCTACTATTAAGGATAATAGATAGTCGGATTAGGTTCCTCTTTATCTCCCTAATAAGGATAATACGGCTATTCTAGACAAAGTAATAATTAATAACTACGCTACTATGATCCTCTTTGCATTATAAGGTAATAGGTAGGTATAGAATAAACTTTAATAGAATAGGTATAATAATCTCCTAGTAGAGATAGGTTTCTATGTTAGCCTAAGTATTAAGTTTCTATCTAGCCCGAGGGTTAGGCTAGAAAGAAGGCTAGCTTCGCCTAAGCGTATTATTAGAACGCTTAGGAAAGAACGCAGACCAATCGGCCCAGATTCGACCGTTATTTATAAGTTAAGTACGGATTATTATTTACTCCTTAGTAGTAGCTAGAAGCTTCTTAGTCTAGCTTTTATAGATAATCAACCGTTTGCGTTCGTTATATATATAATTATTAGGGTACTAATAGAGGATATCTAGCGTATTTATTATATAGATTCGAAGTTAATTAAGGATAATAAGAAGTATATATAGGCTAAGGAGAACGCCTATAATATATAGTCATAGAAGTAATGCGAATTTAGTTATAGGTACCCCCTTAAGCCTATAGGGAAATAGACCTCTACTAAGAAACTTATAAGTTAAGGACTAATTAACCTATATTATATATTTAACTAATAAGCGAAGCTGGGATAATTATTATAGGGAAGAGCCTAAGAGCCCTATTATTGCTTATTTATGCAGGGAGTAGAACAGCCGCGACTATGTTAGCCTGCTTCTTATCTAAGCATAATAATAAAACTAAACCCCTCATAGAGGGGTATCTACTATTTTCTCTTAAGTAAACTAATTAGGACTCAGCATAGGTACCTTCTTGATTCCTTAACTAAGATAAACTTAGTATATAGCTAATAACCTTAGCCACCGAGCCTTACTCTTTCCCATACCTATTTTTTATCTATTTATAGTATTTACTAGGATTTTAATTGGTAACGTATATAATAGCGTGTTATTACCTATTAACGTGCTATAAAGGTTATATTAGCCGCCTAAATAGATATATCATATTATTTAGCGCATTATCTAATATTAAGGATAGGGATCGCCCTTCACTAATAGTAATATAATATAGCTACGCGGAAGACTTCTATAAACTCCATGTTCTTTAACAGAGATATCATAGCCACGACATAGACCACTCTACTCTATATCTTCAGATAGGGAGTCTAATAGCCACGAAATAGATAACTCTACTCTATGTTCTCTGATAGGGATATAAAAGCCACTAAATAGCAGACTCTACTCTAAAGAGCTTATAATACCCCCTGCTCCTATCCCCCTGAGCCTAAGTAGGCCGCCTCTATAGAGGATTAGCCCGGAGCTTCGGCGGGGTAACATAGCATAAATACCACTAGGCATTAAGGGATAGGCTTAAGATAGGGATAAGATTACCGAATAGAAAATTCGCATACCTCTATAGACATAAGCTCATATAATTCCCTATTTTCACTAAGGGCTCAGAAAAGAGAGATATATATATAATACACCCATCTAACTCGCAAGTCTATAACTATAGCTTAAGGCGCATAAAGAGCTAGCAAGTGGGCCAAGGAACCAATACATAGACGATAGATCTGAAACCGCCGAGTAATATATTGCCCTAAGGGCTACCAATAGCTAGGTCACCTAGTTAAGCGAGACCGACGTTTAAGAAATATAGAGCCTAACTGCCTGCATATACTAGAACTATAAGGATAACCTTGAGATAGCGACTATATGAGGTTTTATAATTATTATAGCTTAGGTTACTTATAGAGTATATTATTTAGAGAGTAATAACCGAGGGAAGGTTATAAGATGCTAAAGTAAAGCCACTGGCACGTTATAAAATAGAACTAAGTAGGAAGTTTATTAGAAGGAAGCAAAACGGCGGATATTCACCGCTATAAATTCAAATTAATAATAAACTAAAAAAGGTAAATAGAAATTACTTAAGAGCTATAAGGATATCAACCTTTTATCTGCTTTACTCTGATTTTTAGCATTAACGTAGTATATTACTATAGGAATCGGCTATCTAATAGACCCACCGTCTCGTAAAGAAACTACTCTAACTTTAAATCTAAAGTTTAGCCTATCTTCTTCTTTTACCTAAGCCTTAATATAGTTTTCAGTAAAATAGAGACCCATTTTGTCCTTCTACTTTTTCATAGATCGAATAATAAAAAGGCATTTAAGATTCTTTAGGGCGGCTTTTAACTTCCTAGGCCCGCCCCCTCTAGGTTATATCCCTAATACACTAGCACCATAGGGCTATATTTTAGCTATAGTTAAATCACGGTTATCCACCCGAAATTTAACGGTAGTATTCTAATTTTAAACTTCTAGTAGCCGTGGATAAACTAAATGCTATCTTCGGGCATAGGGGCCTCTAGCGCTATTTTTAGTATAAGTAAATCCACCAACTCGTAGTTAAAAATAAGCTTATATATTAAGGTTTAGATCTAATTATGCTCAAAGTATAGTTCCTTTTCTAGGTCTATTCTAGAAAAAAATAGGGTCGCTAACAATAGACATAATTAAGCTTTTCTAGGCAGCGATCCAGGTAGTCCACGTAATAGAACCTAGTGGCTTCGCTAATAAAAAAGGCTCTACTAGAAATCTTCTTAGATATCCCGATATCTAGGCGCAAAGCCACTTAAATAGATTCATAGTATAGGTTAGCATCATACCTATTCTAGAGGCATAAGTTAACTATCTTAGCAGACTCATACCTCTTATCCTACTTGCTCTACCATTCTTCTAGACTACTAAAGTATTAAGCGAGTAATACTAGCTCTACTAAAAATACTCCTAAGCCTTTAGGTTACCTAGCAGAGGTAGAATCGGAGTCATAGCTATACCTATATATGCGTAGCCTTAAAGGCCTTCCTTAAACTAATTACACCTAAAACTCGCTAAATCAACTAAATAACTCTACTAGACCCCGATAAAACTAAATATAGTACGAGGATACTAATTTAATAATCCGTGAGCCCGCTCGTATAGCTATTAATACGGTCGTAGGTAGCCGATATTATAGATCTAGGCGTAATTAAGCTCTCGCAACTTTAACATAAGCACCGCCATAACTATAGGTACTTCTTAGTATATAGCGAGTATAAATATCCGGTAGGATATATAAAATAAGAATAAGTATCTCTGTCTTTAATATGGCTTAAATACGCTCTTTAAGCTAATTATATTTATTTAGATCCCATAGCTCGGCCTATACCTATAACTCTGCGGTGATAATAGGGCCTTAATATATATAAAGAATCTTTAGAATAGCCTAGTAAATCACTACCTTATTGCCCCTATGACTTATAAAGGGGGGCCTAGGTGCATTTATAGATTATTAATTTTCTCTAGCGTAATAAGTAGGTAAAGATACTTATTAAGAATT